CGAATATAATTTTCTGTCTCTCATTCATATCCCTTTTCATCACCCAGTAAAGTTATTGAAATTAATTTTCTACGTCCAATTCAGTAAAAGATTTGACTTAAAGTTTAATACTTTTATTCATTTCAGCTAAAAAATTCTTATCAAGTTTTCTTTAATTATATATTAATTCGTTATTATTTATTATTGCTTTATTTGGATTTACATATTCATCGTAGAAGAAATAATTGAGCATAAAGAAAAATTGATGAATTATTTAAATTTAGTTTAATTATTGATCATATTTTGCCATTCGTATATGTTTTGCAATTTAAATATCCACATTCGTTTGATTTAAACAGTTAAGACTCATTTTTAATCAACCAAGGAGTCTTATTTCAATATTGCTGTCAAGATATCATGCTTAAGGTTGTCTTCGATCTAAGCTTTTTAACATTCCAGCACTTTTTGCTATTATCTAGGTTGCTTTAAAAATTTGCCGAGATTGAAATTATATAAAAATCAATACAAATATTCTATAATCGAAAACAATGCATGAACATGGAATTAGATAATTTATAGACATTGTGTGAAATGTCAAAATTAATTGCTCATAATCAGTCATAATAATTTAACTGTGAAGATGTTTCACATACTCTTATCAAGAGTATGTCCATTTAGCAAATAATTGTATTTCTAACAAAGCGCAAATCAGACCAAGATTGAATCATTTGTCGAATAAGTAAAAGATTATTGAAGGTGAATAAATGGAACATTAAGGAAAAGTAATCTTATCTTACTATAGTAATAAATTGAAGATAAAGTAAATCGGATAAGAGATTTTTGACCCACAGATACAGGTCAGATTTGAACTTAAACTCAAACATATCTGTGCTGAATATTGTATGTAAATCTATAGATCAAATGTTAAAGGATAAAATATAATTCAAATCCGATATGGATATCTTGAATTTTACGACATTTTTTTTTGCTTGAATTTTCCCCTTCTTAAATCTTTCACTAAAGCTTGATATTCAAATGATCCAAACTATTTTAAAGAACAAAAAAAAACTATACAAAACAAAAATCAAATCATTTAAATAACTTATTTTTATTCATCATAATGGAATAGTTTAATCTTTACTTCATTTTTGCACAAGGACGCTTCAAATATTTTTGCTAAACATTTCAGATTCCATCCTTGACAATTCTTTTCTCTCGATTTCTTTTTTGGGGTTCATATCACGAGCTATTCGTGCAATATGTGTTCCTTTTTAAATGGAATAATTTTCGATATTACCATATGTGACCATGAAAATGTAATACACGATTTTTTTTTCCTTTTGTCAAATATGAAAAAAAATATTTCATAAATTCAAATTGACAAAAAAAAAGTATAAAAATTTAAGTCATACAACTGCAAAAAAGTACTACTTGACAGCAAACTGGTTACATTGAAATTTAAAGTGCATGAAGAGACATTTTGTAACAATTCAATTGTTACAGTCATAAAACTTGCTTAGATATTCAAATTTAAAAGATTCCAAATTCAATCACACGATACACCTTAGATTTGACATTTTTTGGTTTGAAAACCTAGAATGGAATTGATCGATAGTAAAATTTATTTAGAAATAATAACAAAAGAAATCGATATCAAAAAAATATTAAAGAAAAAGCTTTGAGACTTAATTTTCGCAATCACACATACACAAAGACAGCCACACACGTGAAAACAAATATATTCACAATCTTTCGCACACAAAGAAGTGAAAAGCTCATTACAAGTTGAAAATAACGTGGAAAGAAACAAAGGAATTATCATTTCTCGTCATTTTCCTATTCGCATTTGATATAATGTTATACTATAAATATGTATTCGTAATATTAGCGCCTGTGCTTTATTACAGCTTTTCTTTCCGACTAATTATAGGAAAAGATGAATAATGATTTTTTTCTTCTTTTTTTTCATTTCTATTCAAATTTCCTTCATCAATGTCCTTCTCCTTCATCAAAATGAGACTTTTTTGTTCATAAAGGCCATAAAATGTAATTTGAAATCGCATTGAATAGTGGAAGAAAGTTGTGACTTTAACATGAAATCATTTGACGAATATAGCGATCATTGTTTCATTTAATCGAATAAAGAAAGTATTTAGGGAAACTACTTTGATAAAATAAATGCAAAATTTACTTCCAATTGTTTTAAAGTAGCATTAATCAGTATCATAAAGTTAATAAATTTATTTAGCACATTTAAAGAAGTAAATGGCTGGAGTTTTACTTTTTAAAATGAAACTCAACTAGATTTAACAATTTTTAAGCCCTTTGCCATAATATCAAAATTGTTTTTAAACAATTATCAACGAAACTAATGAAACTAAACAATTTAACATCATCTCATATTAATTATAATAATATCACATGAAAAATTAAAAATATCTTTGCATTTTTCTTAATCAATCATTAGGTTATTAAGGTGTGTGCCATCAAAGGAATTTTCAATCCCCTTTACTAGTCCTACTTTACTTTATCCTTTTGTTTGTCTCCTTATAAATATAAAATAGTAACAAGAAACGTTTTCTAAATAGATGTAATATCCTAAGAATTGAATATATGATAGATTTTTGCAAATGAAAATTTATGGAAATGGAAAAAATATAGCATGTAAATTAGTAATTCATGTTTTTTTTCGCTAAATTTAGAAAATTTGTATTCATGAACTCATACAAAAGTCTTTTGTCCGTGTGAAGTTTTAACGAGCTTTGACTGAGATATTAGTTTAATTTCTTTAAAATTAACTCAATTGTTGGTTCAGAAGTAGTTTTATGAACATTAATTCGAAATTCATGTGATTTCGAGCTATGTACTTTGTTTTGTCCGAATTTCGTAAATAACCTCCATTATTCCATACCAAAGTGTTACTGGACTAGAAAGAAACATGTGGTGCCCAAAAATATAGCAACGTTCAGAGTGGATAGGCTCGCGTAAAAGTTTGAGAATTGTTCTCAATAAATGTTGTGCGCTTTCTACTGAATAATTCACTAGAAGATATTAATTTTGTATGAGTTTATGTGAATACATGTAATAGGTATATAGCAATAAATAGGTGAGAATAATTGAAAAAACACTCATTCATATCACATTGCTCATTCATACGTACGCTACAACTTCGAAGAAATATTGAACCAATTCATTATATATGATAGATTGATTTCATTTTTATTTAATAGAAGATATTCTTCTATGGAAATTCATCTCAAGTTTAAGGTTAAATATGAAATTTAAAATATATGTTTTAAATATGATGCACTTTTATAATGGTTTTTTTTTGTCTTAAAACTTTAATCATTAATTTGTTTTGAAAAATTGATCCTAGGAAAAATTGTTAGATTTTTTGTTTTTAAAGAGTTTGGTTAAATGGAAAAATGCATTAAATAGAAGGTTACTTTTGTTTTTGGTTATGAGCTGAAGAAGCTCTTAAGAGCTGGTTTTAGAATCGAGAAAAAAGATTATGATTTTAATTCGATTGATAATTTTTTTCATTTAATATTTCATATTTTTTTGAAGATTCAAATTCTCAAGTCAATTTCTCTTTTCAATGTCTGTATTTTTTTCTCTATAAAATCACATTTTTGAAAGATTTTTTTTTATTATTTATTCTTCATGTTTGTTTCACTTTTCATATATATACTTGATATATATATATATAGATTCCTTATTTTCATATTTCTTAAAAAGTTTTTTTGTCTTCATTAAAAAGTGTTTTAATAGGTTTAATAATAACGCATTTAATTGTTCTTCACATTATGTTAATCTTGAAGGATATTTTTTAAAATTTCTTTGCTCAAGTAAGCGTTTAGCAATCTTTTGATTTTTCCCGATGAAAATTTCTTTAGTGAGGATTAATTGGATAGGGATAGCTATTCGATTATGTAGGCTTGTGCTCGTTATTTTTCTTCGATTCTTATGTTTGTAGCTGATTTTTTTTTTCAACTTTATGTATTCTAAGATAAATTTTATGTATGTTATTTACTTTCACGATCCCTAATACATGCAAGAGGCAATAGCATGCTTTCAACACTTCCATTATCATCCATATCCATGAAACTAATCAACAATCAACTAGGTCATGGACGACCTTTACAAGAAAGTTCTCAACCGCCACTTATAGAGGAACTAAACATGCATACATGCCATGTGGCTCAATCCGGAACACTTTTTGCTAATATTTCTTTCCCTCTCATGATTACTCATTGACTAGTTATAGTCCCTATTTATATTGAAATATGCACATTTGCCTGCATTTTTACGTTATGGCATACAAAGAAGAACAATCGAACCTAAAGTTTGTGAGTGTATTTACGATAAGAGAGGGATGGAGATAAAGCTCAAAAGAAGTTTTAAAAAACTCCATCTAGGAAAAAAAGACGAGGAAAACACGGTAAAAGAGGGTGGATGATGATAGTGGTGTTAAAATAATGTTATGTTTTTAAAATTATACAATTTTAACACTTTTTATTAGCTTCATTCTCAGACACATTGCATGAGATATATTTGTTATAAAAATTTTCTAAGTGAATGTAGCTAAAAACTTTTTCTGCTTGTATATCTGTATGCATAATTTTAAATTTTTTCATTAGCTATGAATTTTATGAGTTTTTCACTCTGCCATCTCAGTTGTGAGAAATAGAGATAGGTAAAAAATAATTTATTGTGAAAATTTTGAAGAGAAGAAAGACGATCCAATTGGTGGGAATCATAAATAATGTAACTAGGGATGATCGTGATGTGTAAGTTTTAATAAAAATGTTTTATTTACCCTTAAAATTATTCGAGGTTATTAATTATTTCGTTGGTATCTCTATTATAATAATCTTTCACGTTATTATCATTATTAATTCTCATTTATTGGACAAATGAAAATAAACCCTCGAAACAATAAATTTATACATTACATTAGGTTTGCTTTTTATTATTTCTCCTTGTTTTATATACTTTTATTTAAAATCATTATATTTATCCTCTTGAAAAAACTATAAAATTCGATTCCGAAAATGTTTTTACTTTTGCCGTTATTGAAAAAATTTTCCTATGATTTTTTTTTAAAAACTTTATTTTATAAGTTATTATATTTTTTAAAAACTTTTTTCTTCTTCTCACTTAAAACATAACATATTTTCAGTATTATTGTAAGTTTTCCTTCTGTTTATGCGCATTTTTTTGTTGATATATATATTTTTTTTTTCTTCAAAAGATTTAAATTTTTTTATTATCATCATCTCCTGCTCTACTTGTGTATTTTTTTTTTGATGTTATCGTTCAATAATTATCATTTTTTTAACATTTTAATATTATTATTCTCTCATTCACGAAACGTAATTTAATGGAATTTTTGGGGGTTTATCTCTTTTCTTCGTGCCTTATTATTATTATTATTATTTTTTTTTTTTTGTTTCTTTTTTTTTCATAGTCAGACGTGTGGTCACCATCCTCTTAATGTCTCTGAATTTTCAATTATTTTTATGCTGGCGTTTATGTACGTGTACTCAATTTGAACATTTGATAATAAAAATTCATTTTAAAGTGGACATATATACCACTCATATTCAAATCCGAGCGAAACAGCAACGAAAACGAAATATAACACAAACATTACGAGTCCTAAGCCTTTGTTCATTTTCCACCGGAAACACGCAATTGATATGGTAACAAATAGCAGCATAAGGAATAATATGGTTATTGAGCAAACCATACCTTCGGAGCTCACTTCCACAGGCTCGCCATAGATGATTCCGTAAATCAGCCATGGAACCGGTAAACTGTAATGAAATAATTTTTAATGTGATAAACAGTTTTGAGTTTAAGTTGTCCAATATCCTATCACTCGATGTCTCAAGAGATGTATATATATATACTGGATTATTCTAGGTCTTGCTATCAGCAGCAGTCTCCAAATATTAGGAAATATTTAATATAGTTGACTTACCCCACTGTGACGTCGAAAATATTGCTCCCAACCGAACTTGAGACTGCCATATCACCAAATCCTTTTCGTGCCACAATTACTGATGTTATCAAGTCGGGAATAGATGTACCTGCTGCTAAGAGAGTCAATCCCATGATCTCGTCTCAGCAAGAATAAGGTATAGCACATGATATTCACCATCATCAGGAACATCAGGAACATCATGAGAAAAATATGAAAAGAAAAAAAAAATCGTCATTAGATAAATCGTCAAATACATTATATAAAAGGACATAAATTAGATAAATAAAGACATAACATGTTGAGTATCAAGCATAAGAAACAGTACTTTGTAATCAATGCCTTATAAATGATTTTCATGTCTTAACTTTTAGATGAATGAAATTTGTAACGGTTTTTTTTTCAAAATTTTATTTCCAGATAAATCAATGAATTGGACATAAAATTGATACATAGCATGTCCAACGAGTCTCATTCATGATAAATCAGCACCCACACATCAGCTAGACTTAGTGAAAAGTTTAAACGACGTCAGAAAAATTTGAAGAAAAAAATTTTTTTTTTCTTAGTTTTGATGTTAAATTTTGAGAAAATAATATAAATAGAGCCACAATCGGACATGTATCAAGCATAAAAGCAATTGGTCCTGCCTAATCAATGCTTAATCACAAAATTTCATGCTCAAAGTATGAGAAGAAAAAAATTTGTAACGGTTTTTTTTCAAATTTTCGTTTTCACAAAAATCAATGAATTGGACATAAAATTGATCAAAAGCATGTCCAATGAGTCTCATTCATGATAACTGACCATCCACACATCATCTAAACATAACAAGACATGTAATTTTTAAAGAAAAATTTGAATTTTGTACGAAATTTTTGATGCAAATTTTTGCAAATCGTAGCAGCCTTTGAAAAAAATTTCAAGCAAAATTCATTCGTTCTTTTATTCTCAAGAAAGAAATTCTATCGGAAAATTTTCCAGCAAAAATAATTAAATTATCAACAAAAAGCTTGAAATTAACAAGAAGTAAGTTCAAGGGACAGTTAGCAGTGCCAAATTGATCAAATTTAAATGAAATAAATTAAAAATTGACTGATTTTTTTTTAACTTTTTTTTCCTTCAGATTTTCTCCATCATCATCTTAAAAGTTTCATAATTGATCAAGCAATCATCATGTCAAATAACAAGCGTTCAAGTGAGTATCTTTAAAGGATTATATAATTTAATTTTTTCAAGTGAGTATCATTTTAATGCAATTGGCTATCAGCAGACATCAAGAAAAAAAAACGTAATTTTCATGAAGAAAAAATACGTTACTACACTATGGGGCAAAATTGAAAAAAAGGGGTAATTCACTTCGAAAATAGGACTCTTTCAATTTAGGTTCTCGGGGTATTTTTTTCTTGTAGAGGACATTAAATTAGACTTGCATGCCAAATTTCAGACCATTTTGTGCTGTTTTTGAGATTCTAGAGCTATTTGAAGTTGAAAATGAGCAAAAAAACTGGTTTTTTCATGACATATTTAAACTTAAAAATCTCTGCAATGTTTAAAGTTATTGAAAAATTGTTTTCAATTCCTATAAGAACAATATAAGAGCTTTATTTTAATGTATTGTAAAATTTTTAACTTTCCTGTTTTGGTGCTAGTATAGTTGGAAATGTACGAAAATCCTATGAAAAATATCTATAAACGTGCCGCAACTATCTTAGCAGGTTGATTTCCAGGTAACTGAATATACAGAAATATAGCTCTTGATATACAGTTTGTAAAACTGTATAAACATTAGAAATAATAAGGTACGTTTTTGAGAAAAATTGGTTTGTGTAAGTCGTGAAATATTAAGCCAAAAACTGATTTTTCTTTTAAAAACAACAAATCATTCATATTAGAAAAGTTTTGTAATGTTTTCTAATTGCAAATAATATTTAAAGACAACCTGCAAAAATTTTTTTTCAAAAAACTCAAAATTTGACGAGATATCGGGTACATTTGATATCTGATGACTTGTATGTTTTTTGCACCACTCAAATGACTCTAACTTTTGTTTAACTTAATATTTTTCAGTTCTGTTTCCTGCTTATTGTAGCTTAAGTCAAAAAATATATAATACTTGATAGTTGCATATGACATTGATCTTGATTATTGGCATTGTTTGTGAATGACCCCAAACTAAGAAAAATCTTGAAAACGACATTTCTAGAAATACCACTTAGAAAGAAAATTGTGTATTGTTTTGAGTTTTTTCATGATGATTTATGATAATTATGACTGTTAAAACTCAAAAACATGGAATTCATAAACTTTTTGCGATCTCAGGTAGCCTGATTAGGTACGACCCTAGTAGTATCTATTGGACCAGAAAGTCTCTAGTATCAGACTATTTTAAAAACTCAAATTAATGAATTTATCATATTTAAGCATATTTATAGCAAAATATTTCATTTTTAGATACTTTTGGTTGAAAAATTGTGAATTTTGGCTATTTTGTTTAAGTTCAGCTTGCGTCGGTCACATTCAATCCACTCTAGGTGCAACTATAATGAAGTTTTATACCAGTATTATACATCTTCTTAAAGGTACTGATCTAAACTAGCAATAATTAAAAACAGAATGCAAAAATATGTATCCTGAAAAAAGTTAGAGCTCTTTATGTACATCAAAAAGCATACAAAAACGCAACCACCATAGGTAAAAATACAAAAATTGAAAATACTTTAAGTTTTTTTTGACAAACTTTGATTTTTTTGTAATAATAACCACATATAAACACATTTTCAATACTTTTTTGTAAGATTTTTGTTGAAATTTTAAATTTTTGTATTTTTACCTATGATGGTTGCGTTTTTGTATGCTTTTTGATGTACATAAAGAGCTCTAACTTTTTTCAGGATACATATTTTTGCATTCTGTTTTTAATTATTGCTAGTTTAGATCAGTACCTTTAAGAAGATGTATAATACTGGTATAAAACTTCATTATAGTTGCACCTAGAGTGGATTGAATGTGACCGACGCAAGCTGAACTTAAACAAAATAGCCAAAATTCACAATTTTTCAACCAAAAGTATCTAAAAATGAAATATTTTGCTATAAATATGCTTAAATATGATAAATTCATTAATTTGAGTTTTTAAAATAGTCTGATACTAGAGACTTTCTGGTCCAATAGATACTACTAGGGTCGTACCTAATCAGGCTACCTGAGATCGCAAAAAGTTTATGAATTCCATGTTTTTGAGTTTTAACAGTCATAATTATCATAAATCATCATGAAAAAACTCAAAACAATACACAATTTTCTTTCTAAGTGGTATTTCTAGAAATGTCGTTTTCAAGATTTTTCTTAGTTTGGGGTCATTCACAAACAATGCCAATAATCAAGATCAATGTCATATGCAACTATCAAGTATTATATATTTTTAGAAAGGTATTGACTTAAGCTACAATAAACAGGAAACAGAACTGAAAAATATTAAGTTAAACAAAAGTTAGAGTCATTTGAGTGGTGCAAAAAACATACAAGTCATCAGATATCAAATGTACCCGATATCTCGTCAAATTTTGAGTTTTTTGAAAAAAAATTTTTGCAGGTTGTCTTTAAATATTATTTGCAATTAAAAAACATTACAAAACTTTTCTACTATGAATGATTTGTTGTTTTTAAAAGAAAAATCAGTTTTTGGCTTAATATTTCACGACTTACACAAACCAATTTTTCTCAAAAACGTACCTTATTATTTCTAATGTTTATACAGTTTTACAAACTGTATATCAAGAGCTATATTTCTGTATATTCAGTTACCTGGAAATCAACCTGCTAAGATAGTTGCGGCACGTTTATAGATATTTTTCATAGGATTTTCGTACATTTCCAACTATACTAGCACCAAAACAGGAAAGTTAAAAATTTTACAATACATTAAAATAAAGCTCTTATATTGTTCTTATAGGAATTGAAAACAATTTTTCAATAACTTTAAACATTGCAGAGATTTTTAAGTTTAAATATGTCATGAAAAAACCAGTTTTTTTGCTCATTTTCAACTTCAAATAGCTCTAGAATCTCAAAAACAGCACAAAATGGTCTGAAATTTGGCATGCAAGTCTAACTTAATGTCCTCTACAAGAAAAAAATACCCCGAGAACCTAAATTGAAAGAGTCCTATTTTCGAAGTGAATTACCCCTTTTTTTCAATTTTGCCCCATAGTGTACTATCAAGTTTGTTTCTTTAAAGCGATTTTTTGCTAATGACGTGTGTTCTGCATCTAGTAAGTCATGGTTAAAAAATCATAATGACTTGTGCATCAGGAAGGTTAATTAAATTAAGTTTTATGAAATTTTCTGCTGGCGTTTTACGTACGTAATTTTTATGTAGCTCTTAAAAAGATGACTTTTCACACAAATTTAACTTTTTTGTCATAAACATTGAAAGTTTTGACTTTATGAGCTGAAATTTGGCAAGTGGCTTTTCATTGCATGCAAGAAAAATTCACATTTCTGACAGTGTGTCAGAAATGTGAATTTTTCTACAGTTATAAAAATTGTTTAGGGTACATTCAGGGATTCAAATTTATTTCTCCAGCTATCACGATTTCACAATGATTCAGATTCCACAATGATTCAGATTTGAAAAAAATGTTCAAATAATCCTTGTGCATAATATTTTTCAGACACATTGAAGTAATGAAATTTTTTATTGATATTCTCTAGTTTAGGACTTTTAATGCCTTTAATCTTACTTGATTATTGATTCCTCAAAATATTAAGTCATGAAATTGAGGATAAATAAGTTTTTTTTTACAAATTTCACAAATGTTTATCAAAAAATTTGGCGCACGATAGTAATTTGTATGAAAAATTAACTAATTTTCAATCGCAAATATCTCGCTTCGGGCATATTTGGGCATGTACACATTAATATGGAAGGTTAATTAGACTTTGTTCTTTATATTTAAATAGGTTTGGTAGAAGCGGAAAGACGCGAATTTAACTTATGAGTGTTTAAAGTCTTGGTAAATTTCAAAAAAATTAATCATGTATATTCGCCCAATTAATAGGTTTTCTTTTGGTTTCTTCACACAAACACAAAGTACTAAGCTTAATTAAGCTGGTTATCAGGATTAAAACAAGA